CTGGCTTGTGTACTGTTTTCATCTCTCATCTGGGGCCCTCCTGACTCTGCCCCCTGCAAACGGCCAGAATCTACTGCCTCACATCACCCCTGCACCTCTTCTACCTTCTAGGTGGTGGTAAACTGAAGCTTCTAGAAGTATCCTAGGTACAGTGCCTGGGATGCATCTGGGGGTGCCCTGTGTCCAAGGAAGGTCAGGCTCTCCTCACATGGACTGGGAATCCGGAGCCTTCCGACTCCGGGCTGGAGACCAGGCTCCGCTGCTGACAGCCCGGGCAGACACAAGAGCCCCGAGTCCGCCGCACCTGGGTGTGGCCGCTCTTGGAGGTTTGGGAGTTCTTTTTCACGTCTGTTGTGTTCAGAGCTTCTTTCCATCCATGCTCCTCAGCCCCACGCGCCTGCCTCCCCTGGCCATCACATCCTTCTACCAGGCCTGCCCAGACCCTTCCACCATCTCCATTTCAGTTTTCCGTTCATTCTCTCTGGGGATCCTGTTATTTGGGTGTTTGGGCCTTCTTGTTGGAATTTCTAATTTTTTTTTTGGTGGGTTGTAGGGCTGAGCTCAGGGCCTGGGCGCTGTCCCTGAGCTTTTTTGCTCAAGGCTAGCGCTCTACCACCTGAACCACAGCGCCACTTCTGGGTTTTTGAGTGGTTAATTGGACATAAGAGTCTCACAGACTTTTCTGCCTGGGCTGGCTTCGAGCCACACTCTTCAGACCTCAGTCTCCTGAGCAGCTAGGATGACAGGCGTGAGCCACCGGTACCCATGGGGATTTCTAATTTTTAGAAACATTTTTCTCTCTGACCCAGAGTCTGAAAGATCCATTTATTTATTATTTTAATTCCTGTGCTGGTAATGGGGCTTGGGTGCTGTCCTTGAGCTTTTACGTTCAAGGCTGGCACTCTACTACGCAAGCCACAGCTTCTGCCTTTTTACTGGTTAACTGGAGATAACAGTCTGACTTTTCTACCAGGGCTGGCTCTAATAGAGATCCTTGGACCTCAGCCTCCCGAGTAGCCAGACGATAGGTGTGAACCACTGCTCTTGGCTTTAAAGCTCCTTTTGCCTGGCTCCAGCCTGTCTTTCAGACCCGGGATCTCTGACCCGATTACAGATGTTACGTGGTTCTTTCTTTCTTCTTGGCCAAACTCTAGCTCCAGTGGTCTGCCTTAGCATGCACAGGGCTGGTTACAGCCTTGCAGCCCAGTTCCGAAGGGGGCCGATGTCACCAGCGGCCTGCTGGCTGTGGCCTGGCGGCCTCGGAGAGCAGCGGGCACCTCGCGTGGGCTCTGGAGAGCAGCGGGCACCTCGCGTGGGCTCTGGAGAGCAGCGGGCACCTCGCG